GCATTGGTGGTGATCTTCTGGGAATCACGAGTCAGGGAGGGTCATACAGGACTGGAAAATGGATAACGTAACATCCCTGTTTAAAAGGGAGGGAGGAAGAAGACACGTAGCTATTGGCCAATTTGCCTGACCTTGGTCATTAAAAAGATTCGAGTCCATTATTGAGGATGAGATTGCTGAGTACTTAGAAGTGTCCAGTAAAATAGGGCTGAGTCAGCATGGTTTTGCCCAGGGTGGGGGGGGCATCACATCTGACAAATCTTTTGGAATTCTTTGAGGAGGTAACAACCAAGTTGGACAAAGGAGAGTCAGTGGATGCAATCTATTTGGATTTTCTGAAGGCCTTTGACAAGGTGGCGCACAGGAGGCTACTAAATAAAATAAAATAAGAGCCCAAGGTGTGACAGGCAAGATACTGGCTGAATAGAAGATTGGCTAAGTGGCAGAGAATACGGATAAAAAGGTTTTCTTCAGGATGACAGCCAGTGACTGGTGGAGCTCTGCAGTGGTCAGTATTGGGACCACAACTATTCACATTATAAATTAATGAACTGAACGAAGGAATTGAGGGCATTGTTGCAACACGTGCAGATGACACAAAGATAGGCGGACGGACAGGTAATGTTGAGGAATTGGGAAGGCTACAGAAGGACTTGGACAGGCTAGGTGAGTAGGCAAGGAAGGGACAGATAGAATACAACATAGGAAAGTCTGAGGTTATGCACTTTGGTAAGAAGAATCAAGGCATAGACTATTTTAGAAATTTGGAAAAGCTTTGGAATTCTGAGGGACTTAGGCGTCTTAGTTCAGGACTCTCTTAAGGTTAATGAGAAGGCTCCGTCGGCAGCTACGAAGGCAAATGCAATGTTGACATTAATTTCAAGAGGGCTAAGAAACAAGAACAGGGATGTACAGCTGAAGCTGTATACGGCTCCAGTTCAAATGCATTTGGAAGATAGAGAGCAGTTTTAGGTTCTGCATTTAAGGATGTGCTGGCGTTGGAGGGGACTCAGAGGAGGTCTACAAGAATGGTCCCAGGGATAAAAGCTTACCACGAGGAGCAATTGACGACTGTGGGTCTGTAGTGTGAGTGCATGTGTGAGAGACTGAGACTGAGACTGAGACTGAGACTATCTGTGGGGGTGTGTATATACCTTAGTTTGAAAGGATTAGACAGGGTGGAATTTTAAAAATGCAAGCAGGAGAACTTTTTTGTGCCAACACAGATAGTCATACTAGAGATGGGAAGTGCTTGACATAATCCTAGGAAATGAAGCTAGTCAAGTGGTTGAAGTTTCAGTGGGCAAACATTTTGGGGACAGTGACTATAAGGTTGTAAGTTTTAAAAACATTATGGAATGGGATATGTACAGTATTGGAGTTAAGTGTTTAAATTGGGGAAGGCCAAGTTCAATGTCATTGAACTGAGACAGGATCAGGCAAACAGACTAGGAGCAGCCACTTATAGGTCAGTCTACATTTGGAAAGTGACAATCAGCATGTTCCTCTAAGAGTATGGGCATGGCAGCAAGTCCAGGGAACGTGGACGTCAAGGGATATTGGGAGTTTGATAAAGAAAAGAAAGGAAGCATATGTCAGGTCCAGTGCACTAAAAACAGTTGAGGTGCTTCTACAGAATGGGGAGTATAGAAGGTTGCTGAAAAAAAAAATAGGAGTGCAAACAGGGGCCACAAAATATCTTTGGCAGATAGGATTAAGGAAAACCCCAAGGCTTTTTCTAAGTATATGAAGATTAAGAGGATTACCAGGGACAGAGTGAGACGTATTAGGGACCAAAGGGGTAATCTATGCATACAGCTTGAGGATGTGGTTCAGTTCTAAAATGAATACTTCTCATCTGTATTCAGAGGTGAAAGACGCTGCAGATAGGGATTTCACTTGGGACAGTGAGGTTCTAGAACATGTTAAGATCAATCAGGATGAAGCATTAGATGTTTTAACAGGCACAGAGGTGCATAAATCCCCAAAGCCTGATGAGAAAAGTCACAGGCTGCTATGGGAGGCACGGGAAGAGACTGTTGAAGCCTTGGCAGAGATATTTAATACTTTGCTGGCCATAGGTGAATGCCAGAAGACTGGAGAATAACTAATGTGGTTCTTTTGTTCAATTAGGACAGCAGGGATAGGCCTGATAATTACAAGCCAGTTAGTCTAATGTCAACGGTAGGGAAATTATTGGAAAAAATTCTAAAGGACAGGATTAAGCAACAAGTGGAAAGGCAGGGATTGATGAAGAACAGTCAGCATGGATTTGTTAAAGGGACATCTTGGCTGCCCAATTTGATTGAGTTTTTTTTAGAAAGGGGTCTAGGTATATTGATGAAGGTTAATGTCATTTACATGGACTTAAAAAAAGGCCTTTGACAAGGTCCCACATGGAAAACTGATCTAAAATGGTAAGAGCCTATGGGATTCAAGGCAAGTTGGCAAACTATACCCAAAAATGGCTTGCAAAAGGGGTCAAAGGTGATGGGGGGGGGCATTGTTGCTGTGTTTGGAAGCTTGAGTAATGGCGTACCATAGAGATCAGTAATTGGACCCCTGCTGTTTGTTATGCACATTAATGACTTGAATGTGAATGTAGAACGTACAATTAGCAAGTCTGTAGATGACAAAAATTGGTGGCGCTGCTGACAGCAAGAAGGATGGTCTCCGGCTACAGGTGATATTAATCAGCTGGCAAACTGGGCAGAGCAATGGCAGATGGAATTTAATCCTGATACATGTGAGGTGACATAGAAGGATGTAGACGACAGAAGGATGTAGACAACGAATGGGAGATCCCTAGGGAGGACTGAGAAACAAAGGGAACTTTGTGCACACGTCCATAGATCCTTGAAGGTGTCAGCACAGGTAGATAGGGCAGTGAATAAGGCATATGGCATGCCTGTCTTCATTAGCCAGGGTGAAGAATATAGAAACAGTAAAGTTAAGGTAGGGTCTTAAGGTTAAATAGTGTTGTAGAACAGAGAGAGCTAGGGATTCAGGGACATAATTCTTTGAAATTTGCATCACAGATAGACAGAGTGATTAAGAAGCCATTTAACATGCTTGCCTTCATTACTCAGACTACAGAATATAAAGGTTAGGACGTCATGTTTAGGCTGTACAGGATGTTAGTGAGGTCACGTTTGGAGTACTATCTGCAGTTCTAGTCTTCCTACTATGGGAAGGATGCTATTAAATAGGAGAGGGTTCAGAAAAGACTTACCAGGACGTTGCCGGGTATGGAGGGTTTGAGATACAAGGACAGGCTGGGACTTTTTTCTACTGGAGTGTAGGAGGTTGAGGGCTGATCTTATAGAGGTTTATAAAATCATGAAGGGCATAGATAAGGTGAATGAAGAGCATCTTGTCCCTAGGGTGGGAGAGTTCAAAATTAGGGGACTTCAAAAAGGTGAGAGGAGAAAGATTTAAAAGGGACCTGTGGGGCAACTTTTTTTAAATAGGAGGACGGTTCGTTTGTGGAATGAATTGCCAGAGAAAGTGGTGGATGCAGCTACAGTTAAAACATTTAAAGGACATTTGGATAGGTACATGAATAGGAAAGGTTTAGAGGGTTATGGACCAAATACAGGCAAGTGGGACTAGTTTAGTTTGGGAAACTTGGCTGGCATGGATTAGTTGGAACAAAAGGTCTGTTTCCATGCTGTGTGACTCTGTGACTATGACAATAAGTGATTCCAGGATGCTATGATGTCTCTCAGACACCAGGGTCAATGATACCACTAAGTTGCAAATCATGCCAATGTATGGGGGCATTGGACACCAGTGACAGTAATCTGTGCCAGTACAGATGATATATGTAGAAAGACAGACAAAATCTATCATGCAGATTCTCAAAAGGTAGTAACTCCTGAATTATTCCCAGTGTTATGTGCTAATGAACATGGAAATAGAAAAGAGTAGATGAATATATGACTAAAGAGATAGTACTGAAAGTGTTTTAGATTCCTGGGAAATTAGGACTGGTTTTTGGAGGATGGTGGGACTGATAAGTCAGATGCGTTAGACAAATGCCCTCGCAGGACTATTTGCTGTTGAGGAAGGTTTAAACTAAGATGTAACATAAAAAGAATCACAAAAGCAGTGAAAAAGACAGATAACTAGAGCAAGAAACAGAGGTTTTACCAAGGACAAAGATGCTGCTGACATCATAGTGAGAGAGAAGGTAATTGAGATACTGGATCAGCAAAAAGTGAAAAAGTGAAGTATTGAAGTTGATAAGTCCCCAGGACCAAATGGGAAACATCTAAGAATACATATAAAAGTATGATGGAAATTCCAAAGGTAATGACCTTCATTCCCATCGGTAATATGGTCAAGGACCAAAGGATGCCCACTTAAGACAAATTTCAAAGGAATGAATTGTACATAGGGAAAACCTTTTTGTTTTGCAGCGAGTAGCTAGCACCTGGGATGGCTAACCTAAACGGGTGGTAGAGGTAGATTTGATAATAGCTTTCAGAAGAGAAATGGATAAGCATCTGAAGAGAAAATAATTGCAGGGCTATTGGGAAAAGGCAGGACAGTAGGACTAGCGAGTTAGTCTTACAGAGAACCAGCTCAGAAGAATTTGATGAATAGTTTCCTTTTGTAACCACTGCAACAATTCTAGATATTTTCTAATCTACTTGTTCAGCGTTGTTATTATACACCTCTGTGGTGCAGGTAGGACTTGAACCTAGGCCTACTTGCTCAAAGGTAGGGACACTACCACTGCACTACAACAACCCTTACCCTATGATTCTAGGTCCCAAAGTTTCATTGTTCACAACATGGTCCACAAAAACAAACAGCTTAATCATTCCTGTATCTGCAACTTCAAATAGAGTTCTACAAAAAGAACTAAGAATTCACCAACTAAAGTGGAATATTCATTAGGTAACCCAAACAGTTCATTTAAGAACCTAGATACTGATGGGGGAAAAAAAAGGAGGCAAACATTTATAATCTTAAACCGAAATTCTTTATCTTACTTCTGTTGCCAAATCTCCCTGCTGAAATGACTTCTCCTTAGTCATTGATGTTGGGTGTTTAAATTGTGCCACATCAATTCTCTGAAGCATCACTTTCACCTCTCCTGTAAGCAAAACCTTGAACAGGTTAGAAGGTGGGTGCACGCACTTTTCAGCTTTTCTTCCCACGTCTGCTTTGGTTTTCATTTTATAAGAGCTTTCTTTAATCCCATTACACGTTCCACTATCACGATTAACTTCATGAAGAACTTTTTTGTTAGCTTTGTTGGCATCATCCTTTATGTCTCTTCTATCCTGTTCATGCTGGGCACAAACATTTGATGAAAGTAATTTGGCATTGATGTCTGACAACTCCTTAGTGAATGACATCCGGGATTTTCTGCCCGTGGAAAAGAAAGCTGCACCTGTTTGTATTCTGGACTTCTGCTGCACTTTTTGACCATTTACTTTTGAATTAAACAGAAGTGTCCTGTTTATAGATCCATAATATGCATTTTCATTCAGACGCATCAGTTCCCCGGTACTATTAGATCTGCTTTTCTGTGTGATTCTGATTTCCTTTGAATCCAATGGATGTTTAGAACTGGAGCCAACTGTCAACTGTACTTTTGTTTTGATTTGTTTTTTCATTTGTAACTTTGTACTTTTCATCTTGGGTTGTTCATCTGCAATGACACACTTGGAAAGCTTGTTTGCACCAACCAATTTTCTCTCAAGAGGTGTGAGGTATAGATGCCTCCCCGTCCCATAGAAAGATGTTGCAGGTACAGCAGGTTTCTGTAAATAGCCCTTTCCATTGAGAGAGAGCCTGGAAACCCTATTCTGTGAATCATCTTGACATTTATTATTAGGTAACTTCTGTGGTGAAGCGCAATTGTCACAAAGATTTTCTTTAACAGAATCAGAATCTCTTTGTGACCCTCTTAACATTGGTGAGTCTGTTACTTCCAGGGATGACATTCTTGATGGACAGGAAATTCCATCAAAATCAAGGATTCTTTTCTTTGTCAGTGTTCCTAACATTGCTATATTGATGGGAGTATAGTCCTGACTGTTTAAACAAAAAAATCAAAAAAAAAGTGACTGTTAGAAACATTGAAAAGCAATTACTTCACAGCGAAGCTTTACTCCAGTATGAATTCCTTGACTTATGCATAAAAATTCCCAACACCAATTCACAGGAAGGAATAAAATCCAAGTGAAAACATAATCACATTTCACATGTATTTCGCAACCAATCTCAACTCCTCATTTGGGCTGTATTATTGGAATGTTATAAAGCCCACTGAACATGGGAATAAATAAGCTTCTTTTTCTAATAATTTAGACTTTTCTTTTAAAATGCAGTTTCCTATCTCACTCGATAAATACATTCTTCCTTAAAAATCATATTAATATCAATCTATGAACTCACTAGGTTTTCAGCATATATATTTGGAACAATTCACAAAGATTGAAAACACCATGTGGTCAGTTCCCATGAAATTAGATTAATAGTTAAGTTTTAGTTTTATTTTGAATGTAGGATTAATGGAGTAGACTATGGTCACGAGTAAAAAGGACTATATACATTTTCATTCAGTCTGGAACAGAGATACCTCCAAAACCATGTAACTTTAGGAACAAATTAGCTTATTTGAATAGCAATAAGCTGCAAAATGTCACAACTTACCAATCATCTTTTGGAGAGCTATGCTTCCTTTTTCTTGGAGTAACTACTGGCATTTTTACCCTTTAAGACTGAAAAAACAATTGAATACAAAAGTAAATACTGCCCTACATAAATAGGGAGTATGCAAAGTAACAAAGGACACAAATGCACTCTACACTACATGATTCACTGTCACTAGATACCTTAAATCTATACCTTTGAGTACTCAGTATTGCCTACTTAAATTAACAAACCTCTACTGGCTTCTTTGTGAAGCCACAGATATCTACAGTCTATTTGAAAAAAAATGGCAGTTAAGTTCATGTTAAAACAACCCTTCCATTTCATGGTACACTGTAACAGTAACAGCAATCTGGGTGCTGGATACAGTAGCACACTGGTAATGTTATGAGAGGAACAATCATAGTACCAGTTTACTGATCCAGAGACAAAAGTTTAAATTCCACAATGGCAGCAGTTGAAATTTAAAGTCAATTCATTTGGAATACAAAGCTAATCTCAATGATGGTATCACAAAACAACTGAATTGTTGTAAAAATTCATCTGATTCACCCAAGTCCTTTAAGAAAGGAAATCTCTATCCTTACTAGTCTATCCTACATTCACGTCCAGACCAACAGTACGGCCAACTTTTAACTGCCATTTGAAATGGCCTGACAAGTCACTCCGTTGTGTCAAAGCCACAACATCAAAGTCAATACAATATACAACATAGCTCAGGAACAGGCCCTTCAGCCCAACAAGCCTGTGCCGATTCCTAGTCCCACTAATTATTGCCTATATGTGATTTCTATCCATCTGTTTGCCTCCCAATCATGTGTGTCTATCAAGAAGCGACTTAAATGTTGCTAACATGCCTGCTTCCACCATCTCCATTGGCAGCGTGTTCTAGACACCCACCACCCTCTGTGTGAAAAATTTTCCCTGCACTTCTCCCCTAAGTGCTCCCCCTCTCACCTTGAAGCTGTGCCCTCTTGTAGTTGACCTTTCCACTCTTGGGGGAAAAAAAGCCTCTGAGTGCCTATGACCACCTTATCTATGCCCCTCATAACTTTGTAGAAGTCTGTCAGGTCACCCCTTAGCCTCTGTACTTCCTGTGAAAACAATTAGTTTATCCAACCTCTCCTGATAACTAAAACCCTCCAGACCAGGCAACATCCTGGTAAACTTTCTCTACACCCTCTCCAAAGCGCCAACATCCTCTTGGTAGTGTGGCTATCAGAACTGCATACAATATTCCAAATGTGGCCTAACTAACATTTTATACAGCTGTAACACAACTTGCCCATTCCCGCAGTTTCACTTCATCCTCCGGCTCATTCGTCGAGCCAACAAGAAACTTTATCTTCTCCTTTCAGGCATCAAGGTCAACAAGATGCAACAAATCAAAAATACCCACGGCCCTCTGGAACCTTCCTCTCCGCCCTTTCTCTCTGACTCCATCCCCTCCCCCAACCCTACCTCCTGTCGGGTATTCATCATCCCTCCTAACCTTCCGCTCTCCAATGCAGAACGCTCCGTACTCAGCAAAGGCCTCAGCTTTATTCCTCTGCGTCCCCATCTTAACGAATTTCAGGCACAACATGATGTCGAACTCTTCTTCTGCCGTCTTTGCCTCCGTGCTCATTTCTTTGGACAAGAGTCCTCGCGCCATCCTAAAGACTCCTTTGCCCAACTCCAACGCTCTCCCTCCACCTGGACCCCTCCCTCCAGCCTTTTACCTGCACTCGATCTGTTCATTGAGAACTGTCGACGTGACATTAGTCACGTCAAATTTGCTGCCCCCTCACCAAATCCAACCTATCTCCCTCCGAACTGACTGCACTCCGTGCATTTAGATCTAACCCTGACTTTATCATTTATCCTGCCGATAAGGGTGGTGCTGTTGTAGTCTGGCGTACTGACCTCTACCTTGCAGAGGCTGAGCGCCAACTCTCAGATACCTCCTCCTACCTTCCCCTGGACCATGGCCCCATCAGGCCATTGTATCCACTACGGTAACCGATCTCATTTCATCCGGTGATCTCCTCCACTCTGCTTCCAAGCTAATAGTCCCCCAACCCCGTACAGCTCATTTCTACCTCCTTCCTTCCAAAAATCCACAAACAGGACTGTCCAGGCAGACCCATTGTTTCAGCCTGCTCATGTCCCACAGAAGTCATCTCTTCCTATCCTGACTCAGTCTTCTCTCCCCTGGTTCAATCCCTACCCACGTACATTCATGATTCCTCTGACCCCTTACACCAGTTTCAAAACTTCCAGTTTACCGGTTCCAGCCACCTCCTCTTTACCATGGACGTGCAATCCCTTTACCAGGAGGGTCTTAGGGCTCTCTGCTTCTTCCTGGAGCAAAGATCTGAACCATCCCCCACCCACCACCACACTCCTCCACTTGGCCGAGCTTGTCCTCATCCTCAACAACTTCTCTTTCAACTCCCCTCATTTCCTTCAGGTAAGAGGGGTTGCCATGGGTACCCACATGGGCCCTAGTTATGCCGTCTCTTCATGGGGTACGTGGAACATTCCTTGTTCCAGTCCTATTTTGGCCCCCACTCACAACTCTTTCTCCGGTACATCAATGATATCATCGGTGCTGCTTCCCTCTCTAGTCTGGAATTGGAAAACTTCATCAATTTTGCCTCCAATTTCCACCCTGCCCTCTCTTTCACCTAGTCTATCTCTGACTCCTACCTTCACTTCCTCGACATTTTTGTTTCCATTTCCGGGGATAGACTGGCCACTAATATCCATTACAAACCCACTGACTCCCACAGCTACCTAGACCATACATCCTCACACCCCACTGTCTGTAAAGACTCCATCCCATTCTCTCAGTTCCTCCGTCTCCGTCGCATATATTCAGATGAGGCCATCTTCAATAAGGTAGCCTCCAAAATGTCCACCTTCTTCCTCAAATGAGGATTCCCCAGCTCCGTTGTCAACAGGACCCTCAACCAGGTCCGACCCATCTCCCACACTTCCGCCGTCACCCTTTCTCTTCCCTCCTGCAACAGCGATAGGTTTCCCCTTACCCTCACCTACCATCCCACCAGCATCCACATCCAGAAGATCATCAGATGCCACCCCCAGACACATATTCCCCTCCCCTCCCTTGTCCGCCTTCCGCAGGGACCATTCCCTCCAGGACACCCTGGTCCACCCTTCCTTCAGCCCCAACACCTCCCCACAGCCCTACGGCACCTTCCCCTGTAACCAGCGAAGATGCAACACCTGCCCATTTACCTCCTCCCTCCCCAATATCCAAGGGCCTAAACATACCTTCCAGGTGAAGCAACACTTCACCTGCACTTCCCGGAATCTAGTCTACTGCATTCACTGCTCACAATGTGGTCTCCTCTACATTGGGGAAACGAAGCTTAGACTTGGCGACCACTTCGCAGAACATCTACGTTCTGCTCGCAAAAAAGACCTGAACTACCTGTTGCCTGCCACTTCAACACACCACCCTGCTCCCTGGCCAACATCTGTCTCTGGCTTGCTGCAGTGTTCCAGCAAAGCCCAATGCAAGCTGAAGGAACAACACCTCATTTTCTGCTTGGGGACCCTACAGCCCTCTGGACTCAATATTGAGTTCAATAATTTTAGGGCCTAAACTCTCCCATGTCCCAGCCCCCTACCCCACACACCAGGCCTTGATACCACATAGCCTGCCATTACACATCCCCTGTTGTTAATCACTAACAGTCCCCATTAACAACTATTCACCCTCCCAGCCTGATCATTAGCAACTCCTTTGTCTGTCCAACTGTCTTTCTCTCTCTTTGGGCTCTATCCTATTGTTTACTCCCTACCCCACCCACCTCACTATTTTCAGCATATAAACTGACGTTTTCCCAGCCACCACCAGTTCTAAGGAAGGGTCACCGCACCCGAAACGTTAACTCTGTTTTTTTCCTTCACAGATGCTGCCAGACCTGCTGAACTTTTCTAGCAGAGATAGTAGGAACTGCAGATGCTGGAGAATCTTAGATAACAAGGTGTAGAGCTGGATGAACACAGCAGGCCAAGCCGCATCACAGGAGCAGGAAAGCTGATGTTTCGGGCCTAGACCCTTCTTCAGAAATGGGGGAGGGGAAGGGGGTTCTGAAATAAATAGGGAGAGAGGGGGAGGCGGATAGAAGATGGATAGAGGAGAAGATAGGTGGAGAGGAGACAGACAGGTCAAAGAGGCGGGGATGGAGCCAGCAAAGGTGAGTGTTGGTGGGGAGTTAGGGAGGGTATAGGTCAGTCCAGGGAGGACGGAAAAGTCAAGGGGGCGGAATGAGGCTAGTAGGTAGGAGATGGGGGTGGGGCTTTAGGTGGGAGGAGGGGAATGGTGGGAGGAAGGACAGGTTAGGGAGGCGGGGACAAGCTGGGCTGGTTTTGGGATGCGGTAGGGGGAGGGGAGATTTTGAACCTTGTGAAGTCACATTGATACCATTGGGCTGCAGGGTTCCCAAGCGAAATATGAGGTGCTGTTCCTGCACCTTATATTGATGCTACCCGAAGGTTGCAGGAACAGCACGTCATATTTTGCTTGGGAACCCTGTAGCCCAATGGTATCAATGTGAACTTCAAAGCTGGAGGGACACAGCAGGCCAGGCAGCATCAAAGGAGCAGGTAAGTCGACGTTTCGGGTCGGGACTATAACCTGATGTCGTGTGCCTTCGAAGTGACAGTGCCATTGCAGCCCCTCAGCAATAACCTGTTTACTCAGTTTGGATCTATCTGCCTTGGTTGAAACATGGACTAAATCAGTGAAATGAAGAGAGGTAACAGCTGGAAGCGAAGCGAGAGGAAGCTTTACTTATAATTTAGATACGGTAACCAAGTGCATGGACTACAAAAGTGAAAGGTGGTACGATCAACCAAGTCAAAATCTTCAAACGGTTGAAAAGTCCAAGGAATAACAACGGAACTTTTTCAATTGATAATATTTGTGATTAAGAAAAAAGATGGAAACACTCAGCAGATTAGGTTTCAGCAAGGCCTTTGCAGCGCTCTGGCAGCCGATCGGAGATTCAAACATGAAGGTATGAGAAAAGATCGGCACGAAGTTATCAGGCAATTCAATGAAGACCCGAAATTTTGTGGGAAAACCTCTCCAGTGAAGTGCCCCGGGAAGTTATCCCGCGCTCGATGTCGGAAACCTCTCTCTCTCTACAGATCTGACTGGATACCGGGTTTTGCAGAGTCTCCTCACCTCATCAACTTGGGAAAGGTAACTTTGATCCTTTGTCTC